AAAAAAAAATTGTTGGAGAGGGGTGGTGAGGAAGCACTGGTTCTGTCTGACATGGCTGATGTCAGCCCTGCTCACACCTGCTCACACTGGACTGAGCTAAGCTGCAGCCTGTTAGATACACAGGCAGGAGATCTAGCATGCACACACATACACACTCACATGTGCAAACATACACTAATTTCCTTGCTGCCCAGCCCTCGTGACGCACTGGCCAGAGATGAGTGCCATCCCATTACTCCATACCTCCTACTTCCTCTTAACAAAAACAGCCATGGCCATGATATCTTCGACGGTCTTAATTTGCTGACCCATCATTAATTGAGCACCTACTATGTGCCAGGTATTGGGAATACCAAGGAAGAGTTACGGTGGGAAAGAAGAGATAATGCTAGTACAAGCTAGAATGGAGGCATTTGCAAGGTGCTCTGGAGGCCGGAGGGTTCCCCAGAGGAGCACACAGCTAGAAAAGGGAGGAAAGGAGGCAGCGGGAAGGCAGACTCAGAGGTGTGTACACCCCTTCTGTGTTGAGTTGGCCCTGAGATTGGAGCTATGAGCTGTGGAGGAAGAAGTGGCAATGAGGATTGAAGGGGATTTGAAGAACTGGCTTCTCTGCTTGAATCTAGGCAGTGACAGTCTTTCTCCAAGCCAAAAACTAGGCTAGTGATGAGAAAAGTGCCAATGTTCTTGGGGGTAGGACATGAACCCCAGATTGTGTGAACCTCCTGGACCACCCAGTGCCTGTGCTCTCAGAGCAGTGGGTCCTGCCAGAGACTCACTCCTAAGTGTGCCATCTCAGGTGGCCTGGAGGTCAGCCTCTGCCCACACAGTAGGGGAGTGGGGGCATCAGGATGCAAAAGGCCAAAGGCTTTAAGGAAGAGGTTGAAATCTAAGTCCACACAGAGAAGGGGAGCGATGGGCAGTGGGGAGTGAGGGGAACTCCAGACAGTTATTTCAGAAGCAGGAAGTGGAGGGAGGTGGGTCCACTGGGCCCCTCTCAATGCTTCAGGACTAACAGGAGCATCCCAATGCCTCATGAAGCACTGTTAGGCCAGTCCCCCAAGTCATTGCCAGTGGGGGCCCCCCAAGGCCAGCTCCCCAGATAGATCCCCAATTCTCTCATTCCTGTCTTCCATGCAGAAATGGAGCAAAGAAGCCTCTCTTGTCTCTGCCTTAAAAATGTATCTCCAGGTCCTCCCTGGTGGCGCAGCAGGTTAAAGCACAGCACTAAGAAGCTAAAGCCTGAGTTCGATCCCCACCCATCCTGGAGGTGACCTACATGGCTCTGCAGACCTCTCCTGACCTGCCCGGTGCTCCCCTCAGCAGTGTACTTCATCAATCTGCCTTTTCTGCTCCCCACTATGTATTTGGTGAATCCTCTCACCACCCCTGCACCTCTGATTTGTACCCCAATTCTGTATGCATAAATAAATCTTTAAAAGGAAAAAAAAATGCATCTCTAGGGCTCTCCCTGGTAACACAATGGGTTAGGACGCAGCACTACAAGCTGGCAGCAGCCGCTTCAGTGGGAGTTCAATCCCTGCCCTGGAGGTGACCCACATGGCTCGGCAGACCTCTCTTGACCTGCCAGCTGCTCCCCTCAGCAGTGTACTTTGTCCAGCTGCCTGTTCTGCTCACCACTCTGTCTCTGGTGAATCCTCTCACCGTCCCTGCACCTCTGGCTTGTACCCCAATTCTGTATGCATAAATAAATAAATCTTTTTTAAAAATGCATCTCCAGTTACACACAACCGGCCTCAATGGTTTGCATCTGCGCTTCAGTTGCTGCTGCTCTGACACTGTGAAAAGGAGACAGATGTGGACTGTGAAGGCACCTGTGATCCTCAAGGTGGAGTTCCTGAATACAAAATAAGCTTGGGTTTGATTAAAATGTTCAGTTCGTAGGGGATCAAAAACAGGGGGGGGAGGGAAATGCACTGGACGATGGTGATAGCACAGGGGTGACTTGGTGATGGGAATCCCACGGGGATTACAACTGAGATGGAAAAAGTCACAAAATGATGTAAAAATAGAATATTATATTATTTTTAAAAAGTTAAGTTCGATTATGATAAGGTTATGGAAATAAAATGAGCTTTTTTTGAGAGTAAAGGAATACTTTGGTATTTTTTGAGCTATAGACACAGAGAAATGCCAGCAATCCAGGTGTAGATCTAGATCCACACATGTATGTGCACATATGTGTACTTACCTGTGCGCACAGGCTTCTGTGCACACATACATCACATTCATAGAAGAGTAGCACCTTCCACATTGCAGGTTTTGCACTTGATTGACACTCATGAGTGTTTGCTGAATTGAAGCAAACCTCTGTTGTGACCATCCTGGGCTTTTTTTTTTTTTTTTTTTTTTTTATCATTGACCATTGCTCTCAGGAGTTAATGTTTGAACCCAGTCATAAAGGAGTCAGAAGCTACTGACCTATGGCCAATATCAGAAGGGGAACAAGCCCCCTATAAAGCAGCCTGTGCGGAGCAGTCCAGTCACAGAGCTGCAGGCCAGCTGCGAAGAGGAAGCCTCATCGCCAACATGAACTTTTCCGGCAAATACCAGCTGCAGAGCCAGGAAAACTTTGAGCCTTTCATGAAGGCGATCGGTGAGTTCGAGGTTGGATGCCCAGACTGGGGGGCACAGCCGTGACGGTCTGGCCCTGCAGGGGACGGCTAGTCAGGGTCTCAGTGTCGCATGGGTGGAGAGGGTCAGGCCAGGGCCGGGTTATTGACTTGCTGTCACTTGCAGCTTGTGTTTCACTCTCAGGGCAAGGTCACTCTGGAGGTAAGAAGAAAGAGCACTGAACTAAGGTCTGATCCAGATCGAAACCCCTTTTTACTGATACTGCATTATGGGGTCGTGGTCATTCATTCATTCTTTCATTTATTCATTCATTCTTCTAACAAACATTGACTCAAGGTCATGCTGGTACAGTGCCGGAGAGATACCTGCAAGATAGATGACAATGAGCCATGTGCTTAACGTTATCGTTTAAAGAAAAGAAGTAAATGCGATAAGTGTTTCCTAGGATGCCCTGAGTGCAGATTCTCTGCCCGGCCCTGTGCTACTACACACGAGATATCTTCACTGAGTGCTCACCAAAAGTTGGTGAGCTGAGTTGGGTATTATTTTCCCCTTTCAGGTTGACATAACTGAGGCCTAGGAAGGTTAGGTAGTCCCAGCCAGCCAAGGTCACCTAGTAGGAAGTGTCTGAGTCAGGACTGGCTGCAGGCGTCCGTCCGGCCCAGCAACCCTACTCTCACTTCCACTAGGGCGCATGGGGAGGGTGTGTGCTTCCAGTGGGGGGTATGAGCAAAGGGAAGTTGTGGCAAGGAAGGGTGCAGAAAGGGCAAAAGGTGGGGAAAACAGCAAATCAGGGAGAGGGCGAACTTTGGGGCAAAGAGCTTGGATCTTCTCAAGGGCAAGTCCGGCCACCGGTGTGTCCCACCCCTTAACTGCATCAGCCTTGACGGTCCCACTGTCAGTCAGCACATGGTGGTTGTGATTCTTGATTTACAAAGCAGTGTAGACATCCTCAGATATCTGTAAAGCTTGGTCCCAGGGCAGGAACTCCTCAAGAGTTTTGATTGTGAAGGCCAAGTTAAAGATAGGTGGACAGAGGTGTGCCTGGCACAGTCCAGTTCACGCACATCTTTGCAGCAGTATTAAATTGCTCTTTTCACTCTCAGGAGTGATCCAGCCTGGATGATAAGGTCTAAGGTCTACCTGGGGATGAGGATGAAATGTTTATATAAAGAGCAAAGTCGCCTGGTATTGAAGGAGCGTCTCCTGGTATTGAGGATAGAGAATGGAGAAAAGGTTCATCAGGCCAGAGGAGCATTATATTTGCACACTAACTGGCAAGACAGCAGGCAGCCCATGTCAGGCCTCTGGCTTTCCTTCAGAACTGAAAGCCCACAAAACTCACAGGACTCCAATGCCTGTGGCCTCAGGGCCACATACTACTACAGTTTCTTGTAACTCCTGCCTTGCAACACCCACCTCCCCTTTCACTAACCCTCCTATGGATTCCCCCAGGTCTGCCTGACGACCTCATCCAGAAGGGGAAGGACCTCAAGGGGGTGTCAGAAGTTGTGCAAAATGGCAATCACTTCAAGCTCACAGTCACCACTGGGTCCAAGGTGATCTACAATGAGTTCACTTTGGGCGAGGAGTGTGAGATGGAGTCCATAACTGGGGAGAAGATCAAGGTAAGTAATGCCCGCTCCGGACATCCTCTCCTTCCAGAGCCTGGTCCCAGAGTTTCCTTCCTCCAGGTTCCTACCTCACAATTCCCACCAGCTAGACTCCATCTCTGAACCTACTTCTGGGAGGGAGACAAGCTGTTAGTGGCTTCCATTTTCCCAGAAGGCTCTGAAGGTGCTCTGGCCTGTACATCCAGCTTTCCTATGCGCTGGATTTGGGGAACTGGGCACAGAGCAGGAGTGTGAGTCTCAGTTGCTCTATGCCCATCACTCCTCTCTCTCAACGTCTTCAAGCAGGACCCAGCTTGGGGCAAGTGAGGGTCAGTGAAAAAACCTTGAACAGCCCTAGTTGAGCCCAGAGTAAACTGACCTTTGCTGAGCCCTGAGCTAGTAGTCCTGGGAGACTTCCTGGAAGAGGAGCTGGCAATGCCAGAATACCATGACTCCAGGCAGGCACTCAGACCAAGCCTCCAGGGGGCTCACTGAGCACACTCACCCTCACAGACAGAGGCAGTGGCAGAGAAGTTACCGCCACTGGCCTGTGGTTCGAGGTGTGCAGGGGAGCTGGGTGGGGCAGTGTGAGTGTCGGCCAGTGGTGCAGGCAGCCTGGTGCCATTTCTAGCTCAGAGATTTCACAACCAACACCACCGAGCAGTGTCTTCCCTTCTCCCTGCACACAGCCTCAGCGAGTTGGTGTTCTGCTGCCTCTCTAGCCTCTTTCTGTCTGCTTCTCCACACTAACATGACCAGTCAAGAAAACTGTCATCAATTTTAGGAGGGAAAATCTCCTGTTAGGACCACGGGAGGGGCAGGCCACTGCCGGTTTTACCACAGGCCTTTTCCAATTGTCCATTTTGGAGGCAAATTTTTGAAACATGGCCAGTGTCTTCAGCTCCCCGCCAAGATCCTATTTCCTCTTTCAGGATGCACAGACTTGAAAGGGAGATCACAATGGGGAAGATGAATGTGGTGCAAGGATTGGTACTTACCAACTCAAAAACGTGTCCTTGCAGCTTGCCTGTATGTTTGAAACTTGCTACTATCACAATCTTTAGCTTGGAGAACTAAGATTTTACTCAATTTTATTTTAATGATTGTGTTGGAGGTCACTTAAGTGTCATAGGCTTATTTCTAGATCACATACCATTATTTAAAGTCTGACAAAAGAAACCCTGACATTTTCTTTAATTCTCACCTGCACCCCACTTCGGTTGGTGTGACACCCAGGTGAGCACTGGGTTGTTGGAAGACCCACAAAGAAGCGCCATCCTCATTAGCCAGGGAATCCTCCCTCCCCAGCCCCTTCTTCACAGGCTGTCTCTTCTGTCCTCTGCAGGCTGTGGTTCAGCTGGAAGGCGATAACAAACTGGTGACAACTTTCAAAGGCATCAAGTCCACGACCGAACTCAATGGCGACATAATCACCCACGTAAGTTTGCTGTGAGCGTAGCACATGGGGTCCCACCACTCAGGACTGTCACAGCAGAGCAGAGAGGCGCCAGCAGAGCTGGGGGAGATGAGCCTGCCCTGAACTCAGCCTCTTGATTTGCTCTTTCTCAAGGCAGCATGGACTTAAGTTAGAATCTGTCCTAAGGGCATCCTTGCGTCCATGGCGGTAGATCCAGGACTCAGACCTAAATCTTCCCTTTCATTCTACTATTGCTGAAGCTAAGGGTCTGTTTTTTTACTCTGAGTGCTTGATCCCACAGTCTTGTTGCAGTGGGTGAATGGGGAAAGGGAGAAAAGAGTGTCCTTCAAAAGCTGATGAACACAGTGTTCACATACAATGTTCGTAAGTAGGGAGGAAAATTACACACTCCTTCCTGTCCTCCAGACTGTGCCTGGAGTTTGCATGCACGTGAGTCCTTGGTGTTCAGTATGAGATTGAGAAACTGCATTGGATTGAACTGGTGTGGATGGTCTTGCTGCACCAGCCGTTGATGCAGAAAAAGATTCGGTAAACAGAACAGAACAGTTAAGTGAGGACGTGAAGTGACAAAGACTTGGCATGAGATTTTAGAAACAACTGCCAGCCCTTCTTCTGGTCCTATGAAAAACAGGGGGATCTTTGATATGTTAGTATATCTGGGACTATGTTGCAGGCTTATTATTTATTTGACATCAGATGAACATTTCATGATTTCTTTTCTAATTTTCAGACCATGGTATTGGGCGACATTGTCTTCAAGAGAATCAGCAAGAGAATCTAGATGAGTCTACATCTCATATTCTTTTACTATGTAAAATTACTGTAATAAAGTGAACGTTGTTTTAAAATGTCTTTTCTTCTCAATGACTTTTCATTGATGGTGCTGTTTTTATCAATGAACATTGATCATCTATATTTTTGTGAACTTTACTAACCTGCCTGTTTCATCTTCCCCGTCAGGAATGCTGGGTAGGCAAAAGGGAGCTACGAGCATGAGTGTGGTCATAGCAACCCCATGTTTGGACATGAACTAAAGGGGCAAGAGCTGACTTACTAAATAGGCAATTCCCCCTCTAGGGGAGGTCTGGGAAAGACACCAGATGGAGTAAAGGAAGCTCAAGTGGAAATCCCCTGCATGCAATAAGAGAAGGCAAACCGTGGAAGTAAAAGGGTTCCTCAAAACAATATTTCACCTCAGGACCTAGTAGTTATTTTGGGTTGAGCTGCATCTTCCCAGCTCACATGTGGAAGTCCAAATCCTTGGTTTTCCACTCGTAGCCTTACCCTATAACAGTCATTGCAGATGTAATAAGCTAAATGTGGTCATGAGGGGTAGAGTGGGACCCAAGCCAGTACGGATGGTGTCTCTATCAAAGGTGGAAATGTGAACACAGACAGACACCAGCTCAAGTACTGGGAGCTCATCATGTGGAGAATGGAGTTACATAGTCACCAGTCCACAAACCATCACAAGCTAGAAGACAGGGGCTGAAACATCGCCTTCCCCGGTGCCTTTTGAGGGAGCCTGACCTTGCTGTCTGATCAGATTCCAGCCTCCAGAACTGAGATAAGAAATTTGTGTTGTTCAAATCACCTAGCCTGTGGCACTTTGCTATGGCAGCCTAAGCTGTTCATTCCCAGAGCCAAAGAACTGGCAAGCTCAGACATTTCTATCTGATCATATCTTTCAGCTAAGCAACAGAGTTCTCCACAAAGGGGCTTTCGTAAATAACTGCATCTGTTGCAACTTACCCACTTCTAGAGTCGAAACCAGATCCCCTGTCAACTGCCTACCTCTTTCTCTCTGAACATCCATCTGGTAAATAGTCAGCTTCCTTAAAAGCAGTGCTGATCAGAATGCTTCCTAATTCATTGCCTGGCACCTAAGAGCCAAACTCCTAAGTCTGCATTCAGGCCCCCCTAACAGGAGTCAATGAACTTTTTTGGAAATACTTTCAGCTTTGTGGGCCATCCAGTGTCTTTCATAATCCCCTAATTGGCATGAAAGCTGTCATACAATACACAAAACTGAGCATGTGCTGATAAACTTTATTTATGTGCACTGAATTTGAATTGTGTATCATTTTGATGTCACAAAGTATTCTTTTGATTTTTTTTTTTTTTTGATCACTTGCTCACAGACAAGCCCTCTTAGTTGGTACGCTGGACAGACACAGGTGGCATTGAGCAGGGGACAGCAGCCGGGGGTCACGTGATCCTTTATGGGGTCATGATTACAGGTGTCTCACCTAATCTAGGTTCACATTCTTTTCTAGAACTTATGTTCCAGTCAAATGAACAACTTCTTGCTTCTCTCACAATTTAAGTTCCATTCCTTCAAGAAGGTTTCTTAAGTGGCACAGCTGTAAGTATATTTCCTTCTCTCTGATATTTTGCTGGAACCAGTCAGCTGGATGAAGTTCTCTCTGACATGCACTATGGTTTTCTCTGTATGTTTCCCTCCTACCAAAGGAGAGGTATATCTTGGAAAAAGAGAACTAAGACATGTTGGGAACTTACTTGGGAACTAAGATAGACCTAAGGAAAGCTTCAGTGTTAAGAATTGGGATCTGGCCCTCACTGGTGGCGCAGCGGGTTAAAGCACAGCACTAACAAGCTAAAGCCACTTCAGCATGAGTTTGATCCCTGCCTGCCCAGGGGGTGACCCACATAGCGCGGCAGACCTCTCCTGACCCGCCCGCTGCCCCCGTCAGCAGTGTACTTCATCCATCTGCCTGTTCTGCTCCCCACTCTGTCTCTGGTGAAGCATCTCACTGCCCCTGAACCTCTGCCCTATACCCCAGTTCTGTATGCACAAATAAAAAAAACTTTAAAAAAAAAAAAAAAAAGAACTGGGATCTTTGAGGTGGTAGGAAAACAAGCAACCCAACAGGATATGCCATTCTCAAAAGTAAGTTCCAGGAACAAAAGAGCTAAATTAATATAATGCATTTTAGAAATAGATATAAATAAATCCAAGTACCAAGTATAGAAGACTTTCTTAAACATGTAGAAACCATAAGCAGAGTAATTCATTAATCAAAATGACAAAAAACATATAACAGATTCAAAAAGATGCAGACAGCTTCTTAAAAGCAATAATGGGGGTGGGAGGAGAAATGCTCGTGGCTCCCTAATAGGATATTATAGTGTCTAATAGGATATTAAGGAGCTAAATTAATATCAAATAAGACAAGTAAGTCCATGGAAAGAGAAGTTGAGGACATTAATATACAGTTCACAGAATCCAAGGCATTTAATCTCATGGTAATTAAGGAGGAGGATTGTGATATATCACTTTTTAAATCAAACTAGTTAAAGGAATATTCATATGCAGGTTCTACAAGGAGGTAGTGCTGGTTGGCTCATCCTTGGGGAGATATAGCTGGTTCGGTCCATATGGAGCCCCACTTCACAGCACCCCTTCATAGTCTTAATCTGGGTTCTCTAACACCTTGCAAAGGCACTGTCGTCCATCTCCCTAAACAAGTATTTATACACATGGGCAAAAAAGCAAAAACAAAACCGTGTCATAGCAGGAATATAATGGAACAGGCGAGAAAATAATAATAATGATGAACAGCTTGTGGGGTGGAGTGGGGAATGGGATCAAAAACAGTGGTGGGGAGGGAAATTAACTGGACTATGGTGAGGGCACATGAGTGATTTGGTGATGGGAAACCCAAGGGGATTGCAACTGAGATGGAAAAATGCACAAAAAATATGTAAAAATAAATTATTGTTAAAAAAATAAAACAGTGCAAAAGCTAAAACCTGGAATCAAATGCACACCAGTAAAAAAGGTTTACACTCATACTCTGAAATCACCAAGGGTAGGTTAAATGAAGGACACAGAGTTTATGTATTGTCACTGTGAGACAGGAAGGGTCCTGGAACAATTCAAGACAGTAATCAAGCACAAAAGTTTTACAGGAACTTTACTGTTCCCATTGGCTGGCAAATGAGAAATTAAAACACCCAGGTGGGGCTCTCTCTGGTGGCGCAACAGGTTAAGTCACCGAATCCTGAAGCTCTCCGAAGCCACTGCACCAGGAGTTCTATGCCTGGCCAGGGAGCTGGCCCACATGGCACAGCAGACCTCTCCTGACCCGCCTGCTGCTCCCCTCAGCAGTGTACTTTGTCTGTCTGCCTGTTTTGCTCCCCACTCTGTCTCTGGTGAATCTTCTCACCTACCACACCTCTGGCCTGTACCCCAGTTCTGTAAGCATAAATAACCCTTAAAAAAAAAATACAGGCACCTGCCACCATACATTTCTGTGGCAGATGGGTTTTTTTTTTTTGTTTTCCACTAATTTCCCCCAGCCTCAGTATTACTGAGCTATCTTTCCACTGCTTATCAAGTTGGCTACCATACTATGGGGAAAAGGGAACTAAAAGATACAGAAGAAAAAGGGAGTCACAGACCTTGAGCCAGACCACTTCACTCTGGAGCTGCAGGCACACAGCCGCCATGAGATGGCCACTTGCAGGTGGTCACAAGCCCTGCACGACCCCCAAGCTGCAGCTGCTAGGTGCCCACAACTAATAGCCACAAGTGGACTTTAGGCAAGTCCATGCTCCTTGCCTTCAGGGCTAGTGACGTTTAATTAACTTATAGGTGCCCCCCCCCCACTTCTCCTTGTCTCTCCGATGCCCAGAGGGGTCTCTCAGACCTGTCTTTTCCTGCTCTTTCACTAATCAATAAACCAAGACTCCTTCTCTGCCCTTACCAGCATCTGTGGAGTCTGCTTTTCAACCTTGACCTGAAGGTTTTAAAAGTCTTTTCCTGGGCTTGGGAACAGGAACAGGACCTCTCAGTCCGTTCCTCTGACTCCCTGGCAGGTGGAGCATTGGACAGCAGCTGGTAAGTTGCCAGCTCATCCACCTGTTCTGTGGGAGAGGTCGGGATCAGACTGAGGGTTGCGGGTCCATTCCCTTGTCTAGTGACATTTCAACTACCTCTAAGACAAAGCGTTAAAATTTCTTCATTTTGGCCCCTCCCTGGTGGCGCAGTGGTTAAAGAGCAGCACTAAGAAGCTTAAGCCACTTCAGTATGAGTTCGATTCCCCACCTGCTCCGGAGGTGACCACATGGCATGGCAGACCTCTCCTGACCCACCTGCTGCTCCCCTCAGCAGTGTACTTTGTCCGTTAGTCGGCCTGTTCTGCTCCCCACTCTGTCTCTGGTGAATCCTCTTACCCTCTGCATCTCTGGCCTGTGCCCCAGTTCTGTATACATAAATAAATAAATCTTTACAAAAAATTTTTTATTTTGTATAATATGAATAGTATAATGACATTCATGAAAATGGAAAAAAAAACTATCTGTTTCTATGAAAAAACATACATGTCTGTAACCATGGATTTTTGGAAGACCAGATAATAACCATTACTTCTGGGGTGGCAACAGGAATTGATTGAGAGAGCAAGAGAATTTTTTGTATTATTTACAGTGCCTGAATCTTTTGCAAGGAACTATTTTATGGATCTAGTTTATTAGTGGATGGTGAGTTTTTTTTTTAAAGCAAGTAATGTAAAGTAAAAATATTGGACTCGAAGACATGATTCTCATTAATGATGTTGGACCTCAGTTTTTCATGTGTAAAATGGACAATGCAATACTTCTAATGGCTTTGTAAGGAGCCCAGAAAATAATGCAAGTGCCATCCAAATGAAACTTGTCATTATTGCCACTTGGAATCCTCACAGAACTACAATTGGGTTGGACATTGAGGCTAGTGGCAGAGAAATTAATGTTCATATGTAGGTGAAGAGGAAAAAA